CCCCTTGTCCCCACACCCCCAAGTCACTGCACCCCCATGTCCCCTTGTCCCCTCTGTCTCCATGTCCCCATGTCTGCTTGTCCCTCTGTCCCCGTGTCCCCATGTCCCAGATCTCAAATCCCCGTGTCCCCAGGTGCCAAAGCCCCACATCCCCACATGCTCACGGTGTCCCCAGGTCCCCCCAGAGTCCCATCCCCATGGTGTCCTCCTGGTGTCCCTGTGTCCCCATAATGTCCCCTCAGTGCCCCCATGTTCACCAGGCGACCCCAAGCTCCTGTGGTGTCCCCATATCCTACGATGTCCCCACATCCCTCTGGTGTCCCCATGTCTCCCTGCTATCCCTGTAGTGTCTCTGTAGTGTCCCTATAGTGTCCCTATAACGTCCCTGTAGTGTCTCTGTGTCCCCCTCGTGTCCCTACAGTGTCCCTGTTGTGTCCTCACAGTGTCCCTGCTTGCTCCTGGTGTCCCCTTGGTGTCCCCATGGTGTCCCCTTGGTGTCCCCATGTCCTCTGACATGCCCCTATCTCCCTGGTGTCCCCAGGACCCCAAATCCCTGCTACGTCCCCACGTCCCCCTGGTGTCCCCACATCCCCTGATGTCCCCATGTCCCTGTATCTTCCTGGTGTCCCCACGCCCCCTTGATGTCCCCATATCTCCCTAGTATCCCCATGTCCTTGTATCTCCCTGGTATCCCCATGATGTCCCACGTCCCCACGTCCCCCTGATGTCCCCACATCCTCCTGATGTCCCCATGTCCCCGTATCTTCCTGGTGTCCCCACGCCCCCCTGATGTCCCCATATCTCCCTAGTATCCCCATGTCCTTGTATCTCCCTGGTGTCCCCATGATGTCCCACGTCCCCACGTCCCCCTGATGTCCCCACATCCTCCTGATGTCCCCATGTCCCCATATCTTCCTGGTGTCCCCACATCCCCCTGACATCCCCACATCTCCCTGGTGTCCCCATGTCCTCACATCTCCCTGATGTCCCCACATCCTCCTGATGTCCCCATGTCTCCGTATCTTCCTGGTGTCCCCACATCCCCCTGACGTCCCCACATCTCCTGGTGTCCCCATGTCCCCCCAAGTCCCCACATTCCCCTGATGTCCCCACATCCCCCCGATGTCCCCACATCCCCCCGGTGCCCCCACACCTCCCTGATGTCCCTACATCCCCCGGTGTCCCCCCGGCCGATGCCACTCACGCAGGTGAAGAGCAGCGCCCCGAGGGAGGCGTAGACGATGTCGACGATGCGGTTGCGGAGGAAGATGCAGAGGATGGAGAAGAGGATGAGGAC